CACTATGGATACCACACTTGCTTGAGACCACATGCTTGGTCTCGTTCTAACACCCGTTTTACTTCGTCTTTTTTTCCTATGGCCAGAAAAACATTCAGTGTCATCTAGCTTGGCACACAAACTAACAGTAATGGAGAATCGATGCCTGAAACAGTTTTGTCAACTTGATACCTACAAGTCACCTGGAAGGACAGAGTCTCAGTTAAGGAATAATGATCTCCATCAGACTGATCTGGGCCATGTCTGTGGGGAATTTTCTTAGTTGATAATTGCTGTAGAAGGGCCCAGCCCACTGTGGCACTGTCATCCCTGGGCAGGTGGGTCTGGGCTATATAAGACAGATAACTGAGCATGCCAGGGGGGAGCAAGCCAGTCAGCAGCATTTCTGTGTGGTCTCTGCTTCAGTTCCTGTCTCCAAGTTCCTGCCTTGAGTTCCTGACCTGACTTCCCTTTGTGATGGATTTCAACCTAGGCATTGTAAGCTGAGAGAAACACTTTCCTCTCCAGGATGCTTTGTGGTCATGGTGTTCATCACAGCAACAAAAAACAAATTAGAACAGCGTGCCCTTTGAGAGTAGTGACTGAAGGAATTTGGTACACAGATATTACTGGCTCTTTAGGTGGGGCGATTCTCAGCTGTCCTACAATGTCTTTCAGAGTTTCCTAGTGAACTGACTCGCAGCCCCACAGAAGGGTCACGTGGTCGGTGACATACCGTGTCCCCACCACTTCCCTGTCTCTATCTTCCAGGTGCACCACTAACACTCTGCACCTTCGCTCATGATCTGCTAGTACATAATTGAAATGAATGCTAAGCAAGTCCGGCAGGAAAATATGAAGAAGAAACACGAGTCTTCTCAGGGAGAAATCAATGTCGTAGAACAGCCTGACAAAGATTCAACATGATTATGTTTATTGCCCAAGCATAGACAAAGATCACGTTCTATAAAAGAAAAGCAAGATCTAATGGAAGAAAAATGGGCATAAAGACAAAGAAGCTATGAAATAAATCCAATTAGAAATATTGGAAAGGTGATATATACTCTTTAAAATTCAAAGTCTCATGAGATGTAGTAAAGTTATCACTGGACAAAGGGGAGAGGCAATGGTGTGTGCCAAAGGAGGAATTCATCTAGAATATAATATGCAAGCCCAAAGTGAAGTCTGTGAGGCCCGGCATGAAGCAGTGAGGAACAGGGTGTGGGATACACACCCTCTCCAGCATGTGGAAGTTTCAAGAGAATGGAGAAATTGCAGGGAAGGAATATTTGAAGCAATAGGAATTTTCTTAATGTCCCGAGATAAAAGTGATTCAAAGTATGAAGCAGGATAAATACAAATGTTTGAAATTAAAAAAAAAAAATCAGACACTGCTAACTTTAACTACAGACTCTAAAAGAAAGAATTATAGAAACTGCCAGACAGACAGGACTGATGATGTGCAAAGGAAAGGCATTTGGGCTGACAGCAAACCACTCATCAGAAATAATAGATACCAGATGACAATGACAAATAGTGAAATGCTGAGAATACTAATTATGACCTCAGATTACACAAAATAAAGGGCATGCAAGGCCACAATCGCACCAGGCTAGCAAGAAATCCTATAGACATAGTTTACAGGCAGAAATTTACAACCTAAGTCATCAGTAATTGTACTTTCTGAAAAGCCTGTTACTCCATGGAGGGACTTGGACCAGCTGTAACTTGAAACACCACAAAGGGCAAAGTCCCCTTTTCACATTGCACTTGTACATGCTGTGTCATTTAGAATCTGGGGTTGGGGAGTGTGTTAGCAAGTGCCATCGATTCCACAGCAGTGAGCACTTTTGGGCTTGGAAGTAACTCTTAGAAAGTCTCTCTCTCTCTCCATATATATATATATATATATATATATATATATATATATATATGTATGTATGTATTCACTGGACTCTGCCTTTAGCCATGGCAGCTCAGAAAAGTGCTTACTGCAAAGTAAATGCATAGGAAAAAAATAGAAAAGGCACCAAGACCATCTATGAAATCTGTTTCTCCCATAAGTATTTTGAAAAATACAAGGACTTCTGCAAGAACAACCAGTGTTCTTAACCACTGAGCTATCTGGGTTCAAATCCCAGCACCCACAGGGCAGCTAACAACTGTCCGAAAGCCCAGTCCCAGGGGTCCGACAGCCTCTTCTGTCCTCTGCAGGCATTGCACGACATGAGTGCACTAACACACATGCAGGCAATACACTCATACACATAAAATAAAAATAATGAATAAAATATTTTTTTTTTAAATACAAGGACTAAGGAAGTTGCCATTCACACATTCCCACTGAAACACAGCAGGCCAGATACTCTGACCTACTTTCCTACTGATAGCCACCTAAATGGACCGACAATTACATTGCTCTTTAAATGCATTGATTACCTGGTTAGAACCTCAGTGGTCACAGGAAAATAAAGCATAAGGCAAGAGGCAAGGTGTGGCGAGTATGGCACATGCCTTTAATCTCAGCACTAAGGAGGCAGAGACAGGCAGATCTGTGAGTGTGAGGCCAGCCTGGTCTACATTGGGAGTTCCAGACCAGCAGTGGCTACATAGTGAGACCTTGTCTCAAAAAGCCCAAACAAAAAAACATAAATTGAGAGAGGGAGCAAAGGCCAGGAACAACCTTCCGCCGAGTGTCTGCTAACCAGGTGATGTGGTGAGCTTCTGCTTCTTGTCTTCACAGAACTTGAAGGAAGGAACATAAAGCTTGTCAAAAATATACAGTGTTGGAAGAGACACTTCACACTTGTGGACCAGAGGCCAAGCAATCCTACACATTCAATGGGAAGGGTAATAGAAGATAAATGGGTGCACTTTTATCTTTTATCAAGGGGAGACAAGTCAGAAGGAAGATGGGGATGAATGTTAATGCCAACTTTCACTTTTCAAAACTTTTATTTTATTTAGTTTCTAAATAATACGGGAAACTTGTTCTGATCTTAAATAATACAACCAGATCTTATGGCAAATAAAATAGGCTCCATATCCTCCTATAAACTATGAAAAGCAAAACTGATGACTTTATGGCCAGGCATGTTCATCTGAAGTTTCTAGTAAGCGTCAATTACATCTTGTGTCCTTTAACCTAAAAACTATTATATATCCGGAAGACTAATGCAGGAGGACTGCCATGAGTTCAAGGCCAGTCCAAGGGATAAACAATGAGTTCTACAAAGCCTGCTCTAAAGAATGAGACCCTGTATCAAAAAAACAAAATAAAAAACAACCTACACAAACACACATACTAAATTCAATCAAACTGTGAAACTTTCTATAAAACACTAAGGGGATGAAGTTTTCAGAATAAAAGTAAGTTAGCTATCATACACAAAACACTTATTTTCAGACATGTGTTTGAAAAATAAAGGAAAATATATTTGTTCCTGCAATTATTATGAGATTTGTATTAGTACTTTCAACAAGTTTGTCATTACCCATTTCCTATTCCATGTGTAATTATTAAGTACTGTGGTTGGGTATCTTTATAAAGTTAATTAATTAATTTATCTATCTATTTATTCAGTGTGTGTGTGTGTGTGTGTATACAATTGTGGAGGTCAGTGAACAACTTGCAAGAGTTATTTCTCCTCTTCTACCTTGTGGATCCTGGGGATGAGATGCAGGACATCAGGCTTAGAAGTGAGTACCTTTACCCGCTGAGCCATCTGAGCCAGGGTGTATTTTTCTTAATGCCATGAATAACTCAATCTTTGTTCTCACTGGGTTTAGACCTTTTATGGTCTCACTTTTGCTGGTCATTATCACTTGACATGAAAGTAATATAAATGGCCATACATTGCCTGAGTTTCAGAAATACTAATTTTGACACCACTGTTTAGTGGTCAACTTATTTTCTGTTTTCTGTTCATAATTGATATTAATCACTTCAGCCATTAAAACAAGAAGAAAAGAATAGATAATAATGATAAATACAGGAATAAATCTAAATGAGCATTTACTTA